CGAGGGAAAGAAAAAAAAAACCCACATCAGTTAACTATTTCAGGAATCTTGAATTTACCTATTGGTCACATCTGTTTCTACCAAAACATTTTGCTGTAGTTCTGGTCTGGTTCTTTCAGGGATATCATAGAAATAAAAAAAATTCCACATCTATGTATGCAAACAAATTAACACTCTAACAGCTTGGCAGGCTTCACTTTGAGTTAGTAGGTTTTTTTAGGTGAACACAAAAAAATGAAAGCCACTTCTAATTGGTATGTTCCCTTCTGTGATGCCTGCATATATATTAAAAATCCCTCTCTCTAGATGGTATCTACCTCCTGTGTTAACCTTTACACTGGAGTAAATATTTATGACTGTGCTACAAACCCCTGGAATATTTTTTGCAATGGAAAAGATGACTCAAGTTCAAAGAGCAAATGGTAATATTATTTCTTAGTCTTTTTGCTCTGCTGTTGAGTGCTTTTCCTGGTAGAGATACAGTAAAACCCTGAGATCATTGAACTTCTGTGTTGCAGAATCCTTCCACAGTTATTTGAATGCCTTTGTCTTGGTTAAGCAGTGAGCTGAGTAAACAAATGCTCTTTTCACATTTGGCAAAGCCAAGCTGATAGGTGCTATTTTAACTACAAGGGTTACAGAAAAAATTCCACTACAATGAAGTATTCTTGATGTTTTAATATTAGTTTACAATCTTTTTTTTAAAGAACACTTCTATGAATTTTTGCTTTAAACAGTTTAAAGCATTTAACTTTCAAGACCAGAATCAAAGCTATTTACATTAGAAAGGTACAATGCTGAAATGCAAGGAAATAATAATATAAACTTCACCACCCCTTTGCTCTTGAATGTTACTTTTTCAAGACAAACTTACATTTATTAGCAAGAAGTTCATCAAAAGCTTCTGACCACAGCCGGGCTTCTTCAGGGGAAGGTCTGCATAAAGAGATGGAGAACATTAGACTCCATTGCTCAAGCTTTATTGTTTTTGTAAAACACTTGAGTAATTTAAACAGTCTCTTTCTCATAACTTACCTGAAGTATGTGCGGTGTTTCCCTACTTTCTTAGGTTTCATTTTAGTAGAATTGGAAGAGTTCTGCAGGAAGTAGCTCAGTCTCGTTTTCCAATCTTTAATGCTGCAAGAACAAAGAAGATGCATGTTAAAAATGACAACTCAAAATGCTTTAGACACCAGCCCCTTCACTGGCAAAAGCTGCAGAGGTTTCCCAGACGCTGCTTTGCCAGTTCTGAGAGTCACCCGGAGCATCTGTCTGACAGCAAGAAGAGCATTTCCCCCTCGCTTAAATCAAGATTCGCCCGCTAGCCGCCGACTAATGTCAGCCCAGCTGCAGGTGGCAGAGGTGGGCAAGCGGCTCCGCTCCCCCC